GCATAATGTATATATATATATATATATATATATATATTTATTTATTTATTTATCTTTTAAAGTATAGACCATACAAGACAATAGATGAATTATTAGATTTAATAACCTAAAAATTAATATGATAATATTACAAAATGCCTTTGTTTTTTATTAAAAAAATTCTAAGATTTCTTTGTTACCTTGTAAATCTTGTATGGCATAATTTGATTTACTAAAAAAATACCATGATTGATTTAAACATAAAATAATTTATAAAGTAGTTATAGAAAATAATATAAGATTATTAATAAATATAAAATTAATAATATAAACTAAAATATACATTTATTTGGATAAAAAAAATCTAATATGTTTATACAAAATTAAAAGATAACTTAAAGTACTTTGAGTTTAAATTTGAGTTTTTATTTTTATTTTTTTGTTTGATATTACAACTAATATGATATAAATAAGATTGTAATAAAATAAAAATATAAAAATAAAAGAAGATGTGATATAGATATTTTTTAAAACTATAAAAAATTATATTGCTATTAAAAATATAATATACTAAAAAAATATTATAAAAGGTATTTTCCAACTATCAAACATGTTAGTATAAAAAATATCCATGAGTCTAATGTAGTTAGGGCTGATAAAAAGATTATAGATAATATTGATAAAGCATATATTTTTATATTAAATATGATAATGAGATTATAGATATTATATGTTAATACTTTGCAATTAAAAATATAAGATATTACAAAAAAAAAAACTTTTTTAAATATAAGGTTTAATAGTATCTTAATTAGAAATAAAAATATGGTAACTAATTGAGAGATTGTGTCAAAGATATAAATCATAATAAAACTCTATAGAAAAAATATACTCTTTTGATATTTAAAGAAAAAAATATGCAAATCAAAGATAATTATAAAATAGAAACTAAAATGATTAATGTCTATACAAGATGATTAGATATTATCAAAACAAAACTAAAAATAAGAAAGGCATTGACAAGAGTGAGGAAGGCCTCACTCTTACCTCTGTATATACTATCTAAGAAGAAAGCTATTTGGCAATGTTCTATATATCATTTGACATGTATTTAACTTGGAGAGACACATGATTAACTTGCAAGGCAAGTTTCCAACATATACACCATATGGCCAACTTGTATAATGAGTAACCATCATGTATAACACATTGTCAACTTGTTAGTTAAATTTTGGATCTATTAATTACCTACAAATACTTGAAAAGTCAAATATGCATCTATAAATATTTTTAGAAGTTTTTCTATAATATGTTATTAAAGTTACTTGATAATAATAATAATAATAATAAAAAAAAAAAAAAAAAAAAAAAAAAACTTTAAAAAGATTTGGTTTGTAATGCCTTTGTAAGACCTATAAAAATTTAAAATTGGATTCTTGTGAAATTCTATACTAATTCAAATTATTCAAAATCAATGTTTAATGAAATCCTAATAAGTATTTTGTTTTTAATTTTGTGCTTTGATTAACAAAAAAAAATCTTAGATTCATTGTAGAGGTGCAATTTTATATCTTAGGATTTGATTTCAACCTATGTTCATAATAAGTCCTCTTTAGATATTAACATCTAATTTTTTCTTAGATAGATTTCATTTCAAAGCTATCATTTATTTCTACCTTAAGAATTCTATGATATTATTTTTACTAATTTGTCTTATTTTGTCTTGTGTATAGTTATACAAAGTAAATAAAAGCCTATTCTATAAAAGGCAGTATTAATACTTATTAGTTGTATTACTTATTTAATTATTATCTATATTTTTAGAATAATTTGTTACTATATTTTAAAATAAGATCTTATATGATGTAATATTTTCTTCTTTCTTTCATCTATTAACCATGTTATAATACAAAAATTCATGTTTTTTTTTTAAAAATCTATATTTAAATTTGGTGATAAGGTATGATTTCTTCATTATAATATTAAGAATAATCAACGTTATGATAAGTTGGATTATAATTTTTTTTATTGGTTTATTATTCAAACATAGATTAATTAAATCATATATTAGTTAAAATAAGTAGAATAATAGATATTTATTCTATAATCTATATATTTATTATTAATTTAATACTAAAATTTAAATTTCAAAAAAAATATATATCACTATTCTTTATTAAAATAATTAAAAATTAAGAATATAAAATAGAAAAAGTTTTTAATTTAAAGTAATATTATAATAAATTAAAATATCTTGTATATTGGAGTAAATATAATTGGTATAAATATATATATAAGAGTCATGTAAAATCTTGCAAGTAGATCGAAAAAAATTCTATTTTCTATCAACATGTAAGAAAACAAATGAAAAACAATTAATAGTAAAAAGATATAGAATAAAATATTAAATTAAATAAAAGATCAATTCTTAAAATTTATTCATAAAATTAATTTAAATTAATAATAATTAAAAAATTCATCTTCGAAATTTCCAAATAAAAGACCTAAGTTATTTCTACTTTTCCAATGTTGAAAATTAAATTAAAGGTTCTTAAGAAAATCAAGTCTTTTATCTAATAAATAGCAAGATATAATGTTTATAATATTATAATATTAGAAGACACTTTTAATATTAAATTATATAATTTAAAGTAAATAATATGCATATTAGCATTTAAATTGTGTTATTTAAGAGTGGTTATGAATATTTTAATAATAATCAAATAATTGAGTAATATTCATATATAGTAACTACTATAGGACATAATAGATAGTTTAAGAAATCTATCAATTATTTTTGTATAGGGCATATATCAAAGTTTTTTATTGATACTATTTGACAAATCTTAAAATTTATTAATTTATAAAATAATTAAATTTATTTTATTGAATTTTATATTTAAATATTTTTTTAAAATCTAATTATTATGAAGAAATTTGCTAAACTATGTGCTATTATGTTGTAATATGCTTACAAACTAAAAAGATTGATAAACAATGATATATGTAAAAAAATATATATATATTTACAAGATTAAACAATATTTTATCATGCTTTTATAGATAATAGATTTAATTTAGCTATATAACTAATACTAAAATATATAAGATTTCTACTACCTTAATTAGATAATAAGTAAACTAAAATATGATAGTTTATCTAAAAAATAATATTATTATTATTTTTAGAATTATTTTAATTAGATGATCTTATAAAAATTATCATAAAATAATAAGATATATGTAGGAGGTGTCTATTTTTAGAAAATATTAAAACTGCACCACAAAAATAAAGATTTCAGCAAGTACAAAGACTTTTTGGAGATTGAAAGATAGTTCTAAAAAGATTCCAAAAATATAAATTTTTACAAGGTTATAATTTTAAAAAGCTTCTCTGATGAGGTAGTAAAAGACAAGGTTTTATAAGCAACAAAGTTTTGAAGGCAATAAAGATTAGTGTACATTTTATACAGATCTTTAACAATTTATATTTAATTGATAGTTATATTGTTGTTAATGTGAAAACACATGAAAAAGGAATGTAATTCTAGGATTTTGTGTCATATTAACAATGCAACTGATAGATATTTTTTTGCTTTCACAAAGAGATATTGGAATTGGAAATATTGAGATTAATTAAAAATATTTTAAACATTTTAAAATCTAAAAATTACATAAAAAACTATTTTTGTAGTATTAGTATTAAACTAAAATAACTAAAACATATACTAATGTAAACAAAAATTAATATTTAAATTACGTGAATTAACTATTTTAATTCTTCATCAAATTTAGAATAAGGAATTATAGTTTATTGGTGGAGATTTCATTGCTACATATTGATAATTTCTAAGTCGTATCATTTTTCAAATTATAAATTTACATAAGATTTATAGAAAAAATAATGTATTTTTTTGAAGTTGATCTAGTAATTTAATTAGGAATTGATGTCTATTAAAGTTTATTAATTGGAGTTTATACTTTGTTTAAGATTTATTGTAATTTTTTTGGATTTTTTTGAAGTTATCAAGAATTATAATTTAAGATTTGATATGATTTAGAATTTATAGTTTAGTAAAGACTTAGAATTTAGGATTTGATATAATTTAGAATTTGATAGAATTAATGATTTAGGATATGATAAGTTTTAGGATATAAGATATGATAAAAATTAGGATTTAGGCTTTATTAGAATTTGGAATTAATATTATAATTAGTAATTTGGGTAAAATTATAAATTAGAAATATCTAGAAGTAAGAATTTTTAATTTTGCAATTTACAAAATTACATGAGTGTGCTTTATTAATTATTTAATTATGTAAATGATAGTTTTATCTATCAAATCATATAACCATAAAATTGATAATAAAAAATGATTTAAATTTTTTCAAAACAAGGAGAAAAAAAGAAAAAAGAAATGTTCTTATATTGTAAAGAACTAACTATATTATACATTATTACTGTGAAATATTGTGAAACATTACATATATAATTACATATATATATATATATATACTTTAAATTTATCAAAGTATAAATTTAAAAATTAAATAAATACCAAAATATAAAATTGACATGTGTTAATTGCTATGAGTCATAGGCTATGCGTTCATCTTACATTCTCAGAACATGGTTTTTTTTTCAAAACAAATATAACAACCATGTTCATTTTTCAAATTTCTATGTGATACAAAAACTCAAATTGATGATCTCTCATACACCAAAACAAAAATAGTAAAAAAGCATGTAGTAAGAAAAAAAGTTGTAAAACATATGTTTTTTTAACAAAGTCTATAAATGCATATTGTAAGATCAAATATTCAACAAAAATAACTATTTGAATATATCTATCTATTTTGTACAGGAGAATGTTAAGTAGATCCAATTTTTTACTAAATTAATCCACCCATTCTCCACAATTGGATTTACAACCAATGAAAACCAACCACATTCATCATCATTACCATATTCTGATTACCATATTCTTAATCCTCGAAAACCACAATAAAAACGTAACCTGGCCTCGCCCACTACCTCATTCAACCATCGCCACTCTAGGAATTGCGAAGCGACTTCTCTACTTGGCGGCTCGCTGATGCGCCGCCAAGTAGAGCTCGCATTGCAGTGAGAGGAGCCACACAGAGCCGTTATCGTCGCAAGTTTCGCCACAACTTTTTCATTTTGGGAGAGCTGGTTGCACTTTCCTGTAGTTCACATCATTGTTGTTCTTCCCCACCAGTTACCTGTCTCGTCGCCTTCGCGGACTTGTCTTCACGTTCTCCTCTCAGTTGTAGGTCCTCTTGGTCTTCTTGCTGCTTTTGACCACTTTGGTAAACTTGTCTGTTTCGAGCCGTCAACTTGCGTTCTTAACAGTTTTTGTAATGTTCCTTGTCTGACTGTGAATTGTTTCAGGATGAGTAACGAGCGGTTCAGTGTGTGGTCTTTGCAACAAGCTTTTTGAGATGTCGAATGTGAGTTCATTGTTCAACTTTGGTATGTCTGGTTTTTTTAGTTTTACGAGACAGGGTTTCAGGTGCATGTTTAAGTGACCTCAATATGAACATGTTGTTGGCATATCAACTAGTATGTGCGACTGTGCAGGTTTTGCATGTGAGGGATCAAATGCTGAACAAGTTTTATCATGCGGGAGAAGAGTGTAACCGTGCTGCGCTTGCCTGCGTTGGTGCCCTAGCTGCCTTTGACACTGCTGAGTCATTTAACATTGCTTCCGGCCTCGACATAAATCCCCACAACAAGACCCACTCACAAGTAGGAGCTGTTTTGTTATCTATCCGATACGAATACAGTAGTTTTCCTTCCCTTCCTGCTGAAGCATTTCTTGAGAATCATCTTGGCTTTGCCACTCTGCAACTTACGGTAAGATATCTTTAGAAGGGTGAGCCATGACTGTGTCATGATTCTGGTCTTTTTTTTTTTTTTCAGGAGTCTACATGTGTTTGGAGTTGCCTTTGATAAAATCGATTGAGGTGGAAACTGGAGTTACGACATTACTCATGAAACAGCATGAGACTGGGCTGATGGGAGGTATGTAATTTTTAGGCAATGTATTTTACACCGAGATCACCCTTGACTTGTCCATGTAGATGCGGATTTCATGGTGTTCCCAGTTACTGTTAACGAATATCAATGCTCTTATTAGGATGATCTTTGCGTTGACGCAGACTTCTCAGTAGCTTTCTTAAGTCATTTCCTCTGACAAGTTTCCTGCATCGCAGAGCCTGCCATATTGCTAGGAGAAGTGGCAATGGCTGATGCTGAAGATAAGGACTGGGCCCAGGAAGTGTGCTGCATGAAGGGCATTCATGTCAGTTGTCTACTTGGGCTCCTTTCACTCCTGCTAGACACTCGACAGACCTAAGACTTGATCACAAGTCATTGCAGTTTGAGATATAGTCAGCTGTTGGATTACCATCGGGAAGATTTCTCCATGCTAAGCCTAATTACGAATGTGGGTGGACATGGGAAATGATTCTCAGCTGGTCAGAATGTTGCTCGGAGAGTCTCTACAATGCGCATGTGACCATACAACTAAATTCATGATACACTTTGCTACAGTTCTGTTACTGTTGCGAGTCCTTTTACAGTATATCGGGAGTTGAGCTGGTTTCAAAATCGCCGTAGTCTATACAGAAAGGACATTTTATGAGCTGGTAAGGGGAATATCTTGTCATTCTTGACAGAACCTCACCAATAGGGATTAGACGTTTCCTGCTCATGCACCCGAAATGCCATCCTCGATTGAATGAGGTTGGCTGTTCTACTCTCCTGAAACTTATGAAGGGTTTGTTTGTAGTGTTCCAAAAAACAAAAAAATTATTGCAATCCTTCGTCATAGACAAATCGGAGCATCTTATAATTTACAATTTTATCTGAAGAGCTTGAATCCCTTTACTTGGATCCTCATCTGTTGATTTGACGTTTTTGATAAAAACGCAACATATTCATGATACAAACATGTATTTGCAAATTTAAGATTTATTCACACAAAGTAACAAGTGAACAACGTAAGCTGCATATTTACACTCTGTTCATTTATATAAATGATTAAATGTAAACTACGCACATTCTTTTACTAACTTAACTACAGACTAAATTTATAATTTGTTTCGACACACGAAGTGAAATGAAATGCTCTGTAGGGCAAAGCTTGAAGTGAATAATTCGAAATTACGAAACGACAAGCCATCTACAACTCTACCTACACATGTAAACAGAATCGTAATCTTTCTACTATTTAGTGGAAATGTGTAAGCACAGTTACGGAAAGTAACAGACAGGAAAATAATTGCATATGTTCATAACTTGAATTTCTGATTCAAATATGAGGGTGTATGTGAACTTTTTAAAGTGACTCCAAAAGCCCGGCACAGAGCCTGCAATCTCAACAACACATAATGTTTGGAGAATATGAAGTTTTAACCAAATACTAAAAAGTGAATGTAACATTACATGCAACCTTACACATTTTAGAAAAGTAACAAAAAAAAAAAGCATTAGCACATGAAAGTATACAACCATTGAAGTGAAGTGAAGCTAACCCAAAAACTTGAATTTGTACATTATATTATTTAGTTTTTGTAGTTGCCGCAATAGGCTCGAGAATGGTTTCGTGAAGGTTCTTGCAATCCTTAATACCAAATCCACAAAAGACTTCAACCACATGCTTTCACAATTATTGGGTTCTTGTCAAAAATTTCTTTAAATTATTCAAAAGACATTTTAGAAGCGCATGTAAATATTCAATCAAATTTAGATTTGGTAATTGACACTTAAGTACTTGAAAAGGTTGCAACTTGAAGCACTCTTACATAAATTTTGTTGAATGACTTAGAATATCAAACTTTAATCATTTAAATTGTTTCAATGTATGGTATTACACAAAAAATATTCCAAAATGCCCTTGTAGTGATATTTTTCTATGATTTCTTCTATTTTGTGAATAAAACCAAATCTCAATAAAAGACTCACAATTCCAAATCATGATCAAACTACCACCATACTCTATACACTTATATAATTAAAAAAAAATGAACAATAATAATAATAATAATAATATGTTTACCATACATGTAGATTTGGTTCTGTTTTCACATTACAAAACAACTATATCTTTGTATTAATTATTAATCTTTATTGCATGCATTCAATTTTCCATATATTAATATAAATCTAAATAATGACATGATCTTGTACAAAAAGTTTTAGAGTATGCCAAATGAACATTAGTATATTAAGACAAGTTTTTAAGACTAAGAATGGTATTACATGTACTCGTGGTTATTCATAATGTTATTAAAATTAGGTAGATTCTCTTCCAACTTTTACCACTAAAGCAATGCCCTTTGACAATCATGTCCTCTTCATTCTATACACACATATCCATATAATAAAGAAGCTTATGTATAAGATAATAAACCCTTCTCATTGGCCAAAATTGTTGCTATAACTACCAACAAAAAGCCTTGATAACCTACACTAAAGACCTGTTTTGTGCCCAACAACTCAGGTTTCCACACCAACACATGTTTATTTCATATTCAAATAAATAAAGTGAACTAAAGCAGTAGTTTCAAGATGTGGTGAATTGGACACACAATTTGCAAATTGAGTACCCCTTCCCGTTTTTTTTCTTTGTGCTTGCCTTTTTCTTGCTTTTTTTTTTTTTTTTTTTCTCCCCCTTTTTTATTTCCACCCTTTTTTTGAAAACTGCATTAGAACTATTTACATTATTATTATTTGTTCTGGGTTTTAGAGCTCCAGCTGGAGCACCACATGCTGATTGGAGTGGACACGTCACAGCAGCATATTTTAGTCCCATCTCCAAACTGAGAAACAGAAATTTGGTGGGGGCAGCAGCATTTTCCTTCCTTCTTCTTCTTCTAATCAACCCCCCCCCCCAAATGGGATCCTGACCCCTTCAACTGTCCAACACCATAAAAAAAGCAACCTACCATCACTCGCCACGTGTGTCGCTGACTTGGCTCAGCGACCTCTTCAAACTTTGCCATGAGCAGCTATTAATACTATTATCATGCAAATCAATAAAAAGATTTCTTCAGTCTCGTGAAAAACTTGAACGCTTATGCGAAAATTGATGGAGAATCGAGAAAACAAAATTTTATTCTAAGATGGAAAATTATCATATTCTAAGATGGAGAATTTGATACAGAAAAAATACATGAAAATAAATCAAAATATGTCAACCGAAGAATTTGGATTAAATTGACCAATGCATAAAATTAAAAATTAAAACGATATGTGAATGCCACGTGCGAAACACGTGTCGGTGAGCCCTTTAAAGAGGAAACAATGCGCATGCGCCATGTCACTTCGACACTACGAAAATGGCGCGAAAATCGAGGTGCTACTGAGTAGCAAGCCATGCCCATCATCGTCCTCTCCCCTGCCCTGCAGGAGACAGTTCCGTCATGGAAGCAAGACAGTTCCGGGTCATGAACGGGACCAGAGAAGACAGTTCCCACATGGTGAGAACGTCAGTTCCCGCGTGTGAAGCGCACATGGAGGAGCTGGCATTCTTTCTGTTCTGGATGCCAGCTCGGATAGGACCTCCTTGAAGTTTGTTTTCTTACAGATAAATATATATTTATATATTGCAGATATTTATTTATTTATTACAGATAATGTTGTTAATCAATATGAAAAACAGTTTCAACTATAAAACGTTTGTGGGTGTTTCAACATACATCCATGTGTTTATTGTGTTTATTGTGTTTATTGCAACTTCTTCCTATTGTGTGTTTATAAAAACTTTAATTATTTTAGGAATATCTCCAACATAAGGGTTATTTATTTACGAAGCAGATTAGGAGCATTTACCATGGTCCTAAGCTCCAACTTATACTAGGGCATTAACAATTATGCCTTCGTTATTTAGAACACTGTTATTTATATGGTGCAATTTCAAATCTTGATATATGTATCTCTTTAGTATCAACAAAGTAATAATGTTTGTTAAAGCTTGTAAGAAATTTCTAATGAGAAATTAAAATTAAAATTAAAATCAAACAAGCAAGTAAAAAGCAAGAAAAAAGTGCTAATACCATTTCTTAGCTCTTATGATTCTTGACTATAATGAAGGAGATGCTTTGACATTGCGTTTTGAAACAATCTGGCAATAAGAGTTCCATATGTTTGTCTTGCTATACTAAAGGTAAAAAAATTACAATGAAAATCATAAACTTCTCCTGAAATACTTTCTTGAGATTTCTACAGATTCTTATAGTTTTAAAATAAAGAAATAAAACCACTTTTTATTTTCATTTTTATCAATATTACAAACAAGTGTGAAATCAATGTTTCTGTCAAATTTTGTATGTATGTATCCATGCATAGTCAAGATATGATATGTAACTTTTGGCGAGTGGTAGATATCATATCCACCCAAAATTTTGTATAATAGATAATAAAGAAGGACAAAATAAAAACTTGTCGAAGCTGTGCTTTGTGCTTTACAATTGCCACAATGCTGGACTGGAACCTGTAAAACAAAGTCCTTTTTGTAGTTGAAGTTGAGGTTAAATAATCTTGATGCCAATATGAGGACTAAGATATATTACCATAGCACAATTTTAGGGTTAGAAGGCCACAAAATAATAATAATAATAATAATAATAATAAAAGAAAAAATCCCAAATTAAGTACTAAGAGAGATGAATGTTTGAAATCAATGTTATTTAAATGAAGAATTAGGACAGGTCCAAAAAAAATTGGGATGTTCACTTAAGTTGATAGCCCAAGAGAGTTTGTGGTCCAAGGGCAGACATTATATTTCAAAACAATAGTACAAGGTCCAATGCATAAATAAGTAAAAGTAATTGCCACAAGCCGTGTTCAAATTTGAGATTTTATCATTTTATTAAACCACCTTTGCCATAGAGAAGAGTGTCTTTACTACATGATTATGTATCAAAAATAATAAGAATAAGAATAAGAAAAATAAAATGCTCTCATCCTCTACATGTGGATAATAATTCACTAAACAATATTTATCAGGAGATAAAATCTAAAAATAATTTTGCAAAACCAAGAATTGAATCTTATAGTAAGAGTTAGTGTGTGTGTGCATACATACATACATACATACATACATACATCTCTGAAATGAACACAAAAAATATGAGGTTTATTTTATGCATTAAATGTTATTATAATGGTGTTTTTAAAAAAACTTCAACATTGCTGTAGTGTTCATTGAAGACATCTCATGCAATGTGCCTACTGTTCTCAAGTGTAAAAATGGCTCAAACACATCTACTTCCTCTAGATGGCACAAAGTCACAAATTTAAGAAATAAGAGTCAAGTGCCACTTTCAAGCACAAAGAGCCAATGATTGTAATCATTGAAGTAATGAATCTGGTTTCATAATATATTTTAGCAGTTAAATGTGGAACAAACTCATGAGCTTGTACTCATTGACATAATTCCTTCACTGCTCTCTCACATGGAAACATTTAGTTCAAAACAGCTATATGTTGTTAGGATGTCCTAGCCCTAATTTTTGTTCCAGCCTCACCATGGTTGTGACTTCTGCTCACCTTTAAACCAGCAGTTGAACCATGAAATTGATGGTTACTAATTTTCTATTTGAATTGTCTCAAACTAACCTAATGCCCTGCACACAAGAGTATTAGTATTCAAGTAAGAACTTGTGGGTGTGTAAAGTTATCAGGGCCCTGGAGATGAGTTGTGTAAATCAAATCCAAACTTGTGAAGGTTCAAATAATTACGAAGACTTGTTTGAGCTCTGGAGCAAATTGAAAATGGTAATTGATCCAAGTGATATTTATTTTGGTATGCAAACATCCATCCAAATTTTAAATATTGGTTTATCAGGCTGAATGGCCTTTGAGGAAACTTCAAAGTTGGCTTT